AATAGGTAATATTTATTTTCAAATCGTATATTAGAAAATAACTTATTATATATTAATCAAACTCAATCATTAAAAAAATACACATAGAACCCCGTTAAGACAATATTTTGTCTATTACTTTGAAATATGTTTAAAATTTTCTCGCATAAGACGCGTTTTTAGCACAATTTTTAATAAATCGTCTTAACGGGGTGTTACTGTATTTTATTAAAAAAGTTTGTTTTTTCCGAAACTGTTTCATCAGATTATTTGTATGTATAACATAACATAGTTAACCCTTTGCATTTGCAAGTTCCGAAATTATTACGTATTTTGCCGCCGGAGTGGAAAGGATTAAGTTGAAAATCGTCTCGCCTAAAACGCGTTTTTAGAACAGTTTTTGATAAATCGTCTTAACGGGGTTTTACTGTATTTTATTAAAAAAGTTTTGTTTTTTTTCGAAACTTTTTCATCAGATTATTTGTATGCATGTTACAAATTGCTTTGCACTTGCAAATTCAGAAATTATTATGTATTTTGCAGCCGGAGTGGAAAGGGTTAAGTTGAAATTTGTCTCGTTTTTAAACAGTTCTTGGTAAATCGTTTTAACAGGGTTTTACTGTATTTTATTATAAAAGTTTGTGTTTTTCGACCGAACTTTTTCATCAGATTATTTGTATGCATATTAATATAACGCTTTCCATTTGCGAATTCTGAAATTATTGTGTATTTTGCCGCCGGAGTGGAAAGGGTTAAGTAGAGAATTGTTTAAGACGCGTTTTTAGCACAGTTCTTGGTAAATCGTCTTAACAGGGTTTTACTGTATTTTGTTATGAAAGTTTGGTTTTGTCGAAACTCTTTCATCTGATTATTTGTATAAATATTAACCTTTTCCACTTGCAAATTCTGCAATTATTATGTATTTTGCCGCCGGAGTGGAAAGGGTTAAGTTGAAAATTGTCACGCTTAAGACGCGTTTTTAAAACAGTTCTTGGTAAATCGTCTTAACGAGGTTTTACTGTATTTTATTAAAAAAGTTTAGTTTTTTTGAAACTTTTTCATCAGATTATTTGTATGCATATTAACTCTTTCCACTTGCAAATTTTGGAATTATTATGTATTATCCGAGTGGAAAGGGTTAAGAAGAAAGTTGTCTCGTTTAAGACGCGTTTTTTAAAACAGTTTTCGATAAATCGTCTTAACAGGGTTTCGCTGTATTTTGTTATAAAAGTTTGTTTTTTTCTAAATTTTTTTATCAGATTATTTGTTAACTCTTAAATTTTAACCCTTTTCACTTGCAAAATCCAAAATTATTATGAATTTTGCCGCCGGAGTGGAAAGGGTTAAGTTGAAAATTGTCTCGTTTAAGACGCGTTTTTAGCACAATTTTTGGTAAATCGTCTTAACAGGGTTTTACTGTATTTTATTAAAAAAGTTTTGGTTTTTTCGTAACTTTTCATCATATTATTCGTATGCATATAAAACCTTTCCACTTAAGATTTCTGAAATTAATATGTATTTTTCCGCCGAAGTGGAAAGGGTTAAATAGAAAATTGTCTCGCTTAAGACGCGTTTTTAGCACAGTTTTTGATAAATCGTCTTAACAGGGTTTTACTGTATTCTATTATAAAAAATTTTGTTTTTTTTCGAAACTTTTTCATCAGATTATTTGTATGCATATTAAAACTTTCCAATTGCAAATTCCGAAATTATTACGTATTTTGCCAGCGTTGTGGCGGCATTCGAGTAGAAAGGGTTAAGTAGAAAATTGTCTCGCTTAAGAAGCGTTTTTAGCACAGTTCCTGGGATTTTAATGTAATTTTATTAAGTTTGTTTTCGATTTTTCGAAACTTTTTCATCAGATTGTACCAAATAATTTTGGGTAGTACAAATGTAAACATATGACGTCACAATGCAGTTTTTGCTCTAAGAACAGTTTTAGGCAAACTTTTGTGTAGATTTGTTTTTGTAAAAATTTATTTACATTTTGAGACATATAAGTATGTATATATTAATTTTAAATACGTGAAATATAATTCTTTTTTAAATAAATTAATATTTGAACCATAATTTGCAATCTAGAAGTATTTTGCAGTTCAAAGTTTGAAAATTTTGCTGCTTTTTGGCTTCAAGGCCATTTTTAGACAAACTTTTGGGTAGATTTTGTTACTTTTGTGTAAATTTTTATAAATTCGTGAAATTTAAGTACGTATATAATTATTTTATACTTTTAAAATATAATTCGTTTTTTTAAATTTAACATTCAAAACATAATTTGCAATCCAGAAGTGTTTTGCAGTTCAGAAATTATGAATTTTGCTGCTTTTTGGCTTCAAGGACATTTTAAACAAACTTTTGTGTATATTTATTTCTGTAAAATTGTATTTATATAAATTTGAGACTTATAAGTACGAATAAATTTATTTTAATTACGTGAAATTTCATTAAGATATAATTTAGCACATTAATAAAATGTGAATCACTGGGTTTCCTTTTTAAAATTCTATGTTATTTTTCAAATTAATTACCCATTTTCTTTCTATATAGATTGATTGTACTTTATAAGAAAATAACAATATATATATTTATATATATATATATATATATATATATATATATATTTATATATATATATATATGTATATAATTATTTCTTTAAAAATTTATCATTCAAAATATAATTTGCAATTCTGAAATATTTTCCAGGACTTTTCCTTTCAAATTCTGACTTGTAATTTACGTAATTTTCCTTTTTTTTAAATTTGGAAATTATAAACGACTATAGTCGTCATATTGGCGAACTTAAAAATAAATAATCCGATTTTTGTTCTGAAATTTTATTCCTTGAACAAGAAAAAATGTGAAAAGTCTACGTACTGTGATTTTTATTTTAGGGAATTTTTCAAGGTTTATTTTATTCAATTATTACTCCTAGGTTTATTTTATTTAAAATTATTTTGTTCAATTATTTCGTTTTGAAAAATTAATAGTATTTCAAACTAGTGGTGGTGGCATCGTGCAAATTGCTGGAACATCCCGTACCAAAATAAATTTTGAAAATCCAAATTATTTTTGATATTAAAAAAAAAATATATTTTTTTTCAAGGCAATTATTTTAACACAATCTCATAGTTTTTTGAATAATTTAAATCGGATGCTTAGTTCACTCAAAAACTGCCATTTTTTGCACATTTTGCTCTGTATCTTCGAAATGGCGAGACCTGTCTTTGCCAAAAACTAATTACCTCTTCTTACAATCATTACAAAATGAATGTTTTTTGATTTATTCATATCGGATGATCCGTTCTCTCAAAAACTCGATTTCTATTTTGCGCACTCGTTGCTCCGTATCTCCAAAACGGCTGGACCTGCCTTTGCCAAAAACTAATCAGCACATCTGCCTATTAATAGGGATCGAATGTTTTTTGAACCATTCAAATCGGTTGATCCGTGCACCCAAAAATGAGGACAAAATATTGTATCCGCACACACATTTATTTTTTCTAAGGTATGCCAAAATGTTCAAAAACCTTTGAAACGTAAAATTATATAAAAATGTTCATTTTCGACTTTTTGCGATTACTATAACTCATTCGGCGGAAAGTTAATAAAATACTTGTGTAATTTGAAATTCGAAATTGTGTATTTGTGGAGACAATTTTTTGTCGACGATTTCGGGCGCACGGATCAACCGATTTGAATGGTTCAAAAAACATTCGGTTCCTATTGATAGGGACATGTGCTGATTAGTTTTTGGCAAAGGCAGGTCCAGCCGTTTCGGAGATAAAGAGCAAAGAGTGCAGAAAATAGAAATCGAGTAATGGAATGATCTAAAGAACATTCAATTTGTAATAATTGGGAGAAGAGGTGATTAGTTTTTGGCGAAGACAGTTCAAAGCCGTTTTGGAGATACCAAGCTAAATTTGCAAGAAATGGCAGTTTTTGAGTGAACTAAGCGTCCGATTTAAATGATCTAAAAAACTTTCTGCTATTCTTAACAAAATAAATGATTTTGGGAAAAAAAATGTTTCAAATTTTATTTCAATTTTCTTTTCAAAAAAAAATCTATATATCAAAAACAAATCAGATTTTATTCTTAATTTTGACTAAAGTTCTAATATACTTTCAACAAATAATTTCAACTTTGCAATTCAGTTTATATTATTCTTATAAATATTAGACAATGTTACAAAATTCATAATAATTGTTTTGAAAACATTTAATATTCCTCGAACATTTCGTTACGGTACGGGAAGTTCCAGCAATTTTCCTTGATGCACGATGCCATACACCACTAGTTTATAATTAAAGTCACATAATCATTGTTATCAATATTTATGTTCATAAAAAGTCATATCTGAACTATTTGACTTGACTATCCATTTTTATTCATATTTTCATCCAAATATGCATAAAAAAAATTAAAATTAAAGTTCAAATTACTAAATGTTAAAATAACATTTAAAATGCACTATTTTTAATAACTATGGGACCGATAACAGAAAAATGTTATGGCAAGGCTATGTTATGAAGAACTTTTCATACTGAATATTGTAAAACTGCCATGTTGGTTGCCGTGCAGTCGGGCGCATTTTTCAGACTGTCAGATAGAAAACCAAACGTATAGAAACCGCACAAATGTCGAACAAACGATGTTAGATAACAGGGTGTTTCTGACTCGGTTTCATAACATACGAGTGACGTTGCAGTTTACGTGTAAAACGCCTGAATGCACAGCAAACACATGGACATTTTGACAGTATTCAGTATGATTCAGTAGCATAATGTATGGAAGTTGGAGCGTAACATTGCATAAATATTTTTTTCAGACTTACAATCTAATATAATTCTATTCAGAAGTATTATGTATGGAAGTTGGAGCGTAACATGGCCTTGCCATAACATTGGTCTGTTATGCACCAGAATTGTTCCCTATATCTATTATATAAATAAGATCTTTATACTTACAATCTAATATAATTCTATTACATTCTATTATCTATTTTTACAAAATTATGACCCTAGTATGCCATGTTGCTCCTCAGGACAGCCCTCTTTTTCTTGGTATATTTTTTACAAGTGTTTTTCCACCAGGTGTATTTTGTACAAACTTTTTCTGTCTTGAAAACAAAACACTTTGTCTGCACAACATTGAAGAATAATTTACCAACTATTTCAGCCGTTGTGGTTCCGGCGATTTTTAGACAAGTACGAAATCTGAAAAAAAAGATAAAATTGGACTGAATTTATTTTACAATATTTATTTCTAGACACTCCAAGATAAAATCTTATCTCTATTAAGAGTACAAGATAGGGCATGCGTGATAGCATATTTAACAGATTAATTGCCATGTCAGTCACATGTGCCTGACACCGAAAAGTTTCTGACATTTATGTGTCAGACATATATGCCTTTGATAGAATGGGAAAAAAGTTTGTGTCACAATGTTAGTCATATATGTGTGACACGAATAATAGTGTTTTTCCAAGAATTTTTGCAAAAAAAAATTTTATCTGATACACTAATTTCCTTGATGAATTTTTAACTAAATTATCTAAGAAATTTATAATGGCCCATATAATTCTTAACTTCCCGTAGGTAGTTTAATGTAGTAGTAATGGGCCGAAAATCGAAATTGAAAATTTTTGCATTTCTCCACCTTTCAAAGGTTTCTAAACATTTTGGTATACTTCAGGAAAAATAGATGTGTGTGTATGTATGTATGTATGTATGGTGAAAAAAATTTTCGCCTACGTTTTCGGGCGCACGAATCAACCGATTTGAATGGTTCAAAAAGCATTTGATTTCTATTGATAGGGAGATCTGTCGATTAGTTTTTGGCAATGGCAGGTCCAGCCATTTCAAAGATACAGGGCTAAATGTGCAAAAAATGGCAGTTTCTGAGTGAACTAAGCGTCCGATTTGAATGATTCCTCGATCATTTCGTTACGGTACGGGAAGTTCCAGCAATTTACCTTAAAGCATGATGCCACACACCCCACGTTTTGATTTCTAGTTTATATTTTATCTAGTTGTCTAGATTTAGTTTAATTTGAAATATTATAGATTCATCTAAAAAAAATATTCGCTTAAATTTGATTATATTTAATTAAATATATTAATTTGTTTTTATAAATATATAAATTTAAAAAAAAACATTGGCTTCAGTATTTGCATATGGAAGCCGCGGATTTGTTGAAAATTTAACTAAATTCAAAGAAACAATTATTGAAAATCTTTCTGATTTTATGAATTAATAATTCAAATATTTTTTTTATTTAGCATTGATCAACTAAAAACATATATTAGATTAATATTTTGAATTTTGATAAAGAAATGTTAAATGTTAAATATTGAAAAGAAATTTGTTAACGAATGTCTCATATAATTTAAAACAACGAATCTTTTATATGCAATTAATGAGGTTGTTTTCTTAACAAAAAACTTCTAGACGATTTAATAATTTTACAAAAAACTTATACTGCAAATATATATAGCTATTTTTTTCTAATATAATATAATATATATATATATATATATATATATATATATATATATATATATATATATATATATACTTTCTTTGATCTAATGATTCTCGTTACAGCATTTTTTGTTCAAAGAAAATCCGTTTTATATCGGGAAAAGCTTTGAGCATTTTATCCTTTAAACCAGGATCATTATCCGGATTTAGTATTTTCTGTTTAGTGGTCAAAAATCGTAGACTTTATTAGCCAAATCTGACAAATCGGTGAAAAAGTAAAGGAATTAGGAATCGAATTCGACAAGTCGAAAGAAGAAACTAATTGGGAATCAAAATCCGATTTCAGGAGCTGAATAAGGGTTTAATAATTATTAGAACGATATGTGGTTAAATTAATTAGTTATTTATTTAGCTGCTTAAATTTCCCTCAAAACATCACAAAAACACATGAATTTCTTCCTATAAAAATAAACATAAGTATCTCCATATAAAACCTCGTCAGATATTTATTTTTACTAGGAGAATTTTATTTATTTCACAAACATTTAATGTACTTTCTTATTGTTAAAGGCGTCGTCGACGACATTTGAAATATTCATGAATAAATAATATAAAAAAATATTATTATTATGATTGTTGTTTTATTTATATTCATTCCCAACAATATTTACTTATGTCGTAAAATTTTATGATAAATCTTATGAGCCGCTCGTATGAAATTCATAAAATGCATAAAATGCATAAAATACATAAAATTTTATATTGTTTTGAATAATTTTAGATAGGAAGAATTGTTTGTAAAGTACGAGTCGAACTCGTGTAAAATTATGAAAATATTGTAAGATAAAGTATCTTTATAAACTACTAAATAGAATTAGAAAATCAGACCACTAAATAGAAAATAGAATTCTAAAATCAGATAGTAAAATTTCTTGCAAATACTTTTTGGATTTTTTAAGTCGGTTCACATTTTCTGGCCAAAAATTTTATTTTATTTTTATTTAAATATATATATATATATATATAATATATATATATATATATATATATATATATTGAAGATTTTTTGTTCGATGTTGAAACATATATAATATATATATATTATATATATATATATATATATATATATATATATATATATATACATTATTTTCATATATCTTTCATATTTTTCACATGAATTAAATAAATTTTGTTAAAATGATTTTTTTTATATTAAAAACTTTTATTTATATTACAATATTGCAATTAAATTTCTATTAAAATGATATTTTTATATCAAAAATTTTTATTTCTGGCGAAAACCTGGAAGAAAAATGTTGCAATTAAATTTTTGTTAAAATGTTTTTTTTTATATTAGAAAATTTTATTTCTAGCCAAAACGTGGACGAACAATTTTGCACTTATTTTTTTTTTAAATGACTTTCAAATTAGATACTTTTCTTTCTGGCAAATTTAATTTAAATTCTGTTAAAATGATTTTTTTGTATTAGAAACTTTTAATTTCAAATTAATATTATTAATAGTAATTAATAATTTAAATTTTAATTTCAATTTTAATTTTAGTTTTTAGGCAATAAAAATTCTATTAATTTTCTAATATCTTAAAGAGATTCCAATTAGAATTCTTATCAGATTCCAATGGTATTTACAGTTAAATCTAACTAGAATCAAATCCATAAGGAAATAGTATATATTTCCTGCAATTTTGCTGATAATAATAAAATTATATACGATTATTATCATATCTATGTCTTGTAGAAAAGAAAGTTTTAATTGCAATTTTATAGCACTTATTTATTATCATCAACAAAACCAATTTAATAAAAATATGCATTGTCAGATATTTATGTACATTATTATAGCTTAAAATTTATTTTTTTTATTTAGTGACTTATTTATAAGTCTAACTGAGTTAAAAAATCCAAATATACTTAACATGTTAAAATAATAAAAAAATCATATGGGCCCTGGAAATTTAGATAGTTTTAGTTAAAAATGTACCGAGAAACTTAATCAAAGAATAATGTTTTTTTTGCTAAAATTTCTGGAAAAACACTAATTTTCATGACGCACATATATGTCTGACATGCATTTAACGTGTTAACAATAATTTTACAAATTGATTTTTAACATTTGTTTTTTCTTCATTTCAACAGATAAAACCAGATTGACCAGGACAAGTCAACAAAAGTCGTTCGTGATTTATATTTATTTATCGGGTACTCGGATCGAATCTTGGTTCTAGTACTTGTATATTAAAATAATAGGTTATGGACTCAAATAAGTAGATGTGGACTTTTGAAAAATTGTACTTTAAAGACAAAGTGAAAAGCAAGTGGCCAAAAAAAATATTTTTTGTCGTGTGTAAAAATAGTTTATATTAAAGGAATCATCTACAATTAGATGGATTTTGCGATAAGTATTAAAGAGTAAAATTAAAAGCTCAAAAACTTTGTTTTTGGTGAAAAAACTCTCCGATCCTCAGTTAAAAGTGTATCTAGTGAAAGTGTACAAAAACTCGTAAAACAATTCATTTTTTTAAGTATACAGAGTTGCTGTACAGCAAAATGATATTAGACAATACTGTAGCTTATTCAATTTCCGATAAATTTCTCGAATACATCATTCTTATCAAACAAATAGTTTTCAAGTTACAAAAGCCAAAACAAAAATAACCACTCCCAGCTTCAAGTGGTATACTGAACTCCAAAGCAAGATGTCGCTTTACACACTATGCAAAAAATCTTAGACAAATTCGAGTTTGTATGGAAACTAGTATACTTCATTCTCAGACATTTTTAGTGCGTTTTTTTGTAAATTCTTCGTTGTTTTTAGTGCCGATTTTTTTTGTTTTAAATTATTTTATGTTTTAGTGTTTTACTGTTTAGTGAAGTGCAGTAAAAAATGTGATTAAAAGTGTGATCCTGGTTCCTGAAAGTTCCAGAAGTTCCTGATTAGGCTCTCTTCTGGAAATCGAGAGGTAATAAAAATAAATAGACCAATTCTATGACATATTTGCTCTATTTTATGTATAGAGTATCCAACTCAGTTTTCTATTTTTCTAATATTTACCAATTTGTTACCTTTTTCATTTTGAAGTTAATACTTCTTTACAAATATATCATTTTTATATATCAATCCATACCGGTTTCATTTTCCTCAGTATTCAAAATAATTTATTTTGTTCTTATTATCTCAATTTTGTTCATCTTTTATTTGATTTTTCTTTCTATATTTAAGAAATACAGAAGAGTCGTCTTTGAACTTTGCAAACAAATTTTATTAAACTCAAGTTTAATTTATTGTTTTTTTTTCTAATTTTAGACAACAAATTGGTATCGAGATGTTCCAGAAGAATCGGTGATTTTAAAAAAGGTCAGTGGATTTTTATTTCTAGACATGCCTTTTTAATATTCATGTATTTTTTTCAGCAAAAATATAAAATTAATACAAAAGTGAAAAGTGCAGTGTTAATTAAATTCCTTTGATAATATAAAAAAAAGTTAAAGATAGTGAATGTAAATTCGCGTAAATCAAAGTGTTTTTTAAAATAGTGCTATTTAAATCAATTTCTTTCTTAATTTCGCGTAAACAAAGTGAAAAGTGAATTATGCAATTTTATGAAGAAATTGTGAGCTTTTGCTGCCCTGATATAAAGGTAAGAGTTGTTTTTTCGTTATTAAAAAGTATATTGTAATTAACAATTGTTGACATAACAATTTTGAAAAA